TGCCGGACACACTCAGTGCCCTGGGCTCCCTCCCCAGCAGGCCTTCCCTAAGGGGCTTGTGCACAGCGTCCGATTCTGGGGAGCCAAGGCTGGTCCGTGCTGAACAAACCACAACCCACACTAGTGGGGAAGCCCACGAGCTGGTGCATTACCTTTTCCTTCTTGGTGACCTCCATCCTGGCTCGGTCATCCAGCATTTGTGCGGCGGCCCGCTCGCGTGAGCTGGGACCCCTCAGTGTTCCCTGACAGCTTCCGAAGCAGAAAGACCCCAAGGCGTCTGCCAGCCGAGGAAGGATCTGAAGGGAGGCTATGGTCCACCTTGCAGCCACCTTCTGGCTTGAGCTTCAGGCACAGAGTTTCCTCCTTTTCATTGTTGACCAGCAAGCCGGCGAGCCTTCTCTTCGGAGACGCAGCTGGGACCCTTCCCCACCAAGGCCCGTCCGGCCAGCGCTGGAGGCTGGGGCTGGCCAGCGCCGGGCAGCCTTCTCTCCAGGCTGTGCCAAGCCGTGGTGGTGCGGCGTCCTCTGGACAGACTCAGCAGAAAGGGTCTGCTCCCCTCCTGTGGCCGGGGACAACTCTTGAGTAATCAGGTTGTGACTGTGTCCCTCTCACACCCCAACCTGCTTTCCCTGGGCTCCGGGCCGCCCAGCACTTCCTGCTCCGACCAGGTGTGGAGCGGGGAGTCCCCCCACGGGGCCTTCTGTGCTCCCCGAGAGGGCCCGCGCTGCCATGGCAACCCGGAGCAGGGCCCCTGCGCTGGCGGCCTCCAGCCTCGGCAGGGCTGACCATCCTGTCATTAGAGCTGCCATGCAGAAAACTGAGGCTGATGGCAAAGGCCTCCATCCCCATCACCATAGTGATGGCCCGATCGCCCCGTCACTGTGGACTTCGCCACCTGTCCAGTTCCCAGGGCAGGGTCACGGCGTCTTCCAAACTCATGTCCTAAGGAGCAGAGGCCCCTGCGAGTGTGGAATCCAGAGGAGACGGAGCAGGCAGCTTAGCCACCTGTAAGCTCTGGGGCTGCCCTCCCTGCCGACCTGAGCCGGAACCGTGGGCCCGCACAGAACAGAGGCCCTCGGTCCCTGGGTCCTCAGCTCAGGACGCTTGCACACCCACTCGCACCCACGGTGACGGGACCCCGGGAACCCAGCGGGAGGCCAGGTGCTGGAGCTCAGCCATCGGGAGCAAATGGTGGGAGACCAAGGACCATCTCAACCGGAGTTTCTGGCCTCAGCCTCTGAAGCCTGGTGTGCTTCGCCCTCACAGCTCGTCTCAGCGCTAGCACGCTGGGGGACCGCGAGTGGCCGGTGGCTGCTGTAGGGGAGAGTGTGGTGGGAACAGAGCAAAGCGGGGTCAGGACCAAGCCCGGGGTCCGGCAGAGGGAGCAAGGAATGGCCAGTGAGACTCTCCAGATGGGCGTGCGGTCACATTTCAAGCCAACTTCCTACTGATGGTCATCCAGGCAGCTCCCCTTCTTCAGATGCACATGTTTCTTCCGGATGATTCCTAGAGGCTGAACTGCTAGATCAAACGCTCTGCACATCTTACATTCGGGTAGATGAGTTTATAGTCCTCCCTCAATGGCTATGCCAATTTATTAATCCTTCCACCGACATGAGGGGTTTGGCTCCACGCTTGGGATTATAAATCTTGATAATTTTTTGCTGATCTGTTGTCTCATCATTTAAACTGCAAAGCGCTGGGTTCTTTTCGTCGGGTCACTGGTTATTTACATTTTTCTCTAAGGATGATTTGTTTATACTTTTTAACTATTTTGTTATTGAATTGTCTTTTACCTTTCAATTTGCATAACGCGGTTTTTCATGTTCCATTTCTAGTACCTACTAATCCTTTGTGGAATCCCCCGTGATGTCTCCGGCAGTCTATCCTAAGCTCAAACTTGATCACTGGTGTCTTCCTCACGCAGAAGCTTTTCCTTCTTAGGAATTTCAGTCTTGGCCTTCTTTATTGTTCTGAGGTTCATGTCTTGTTAAGAAAAACGTTTCCCATCCAAAATTGGAAAAATATCTTCCCACATTTCCTTCTAATATTTTCCCTTTTTTTTTTTTTTTTTTTTACTGTTCAGCACTTTGGTCCTTACGGGACTTGTTTTTTGTGTGGTGTGAGGTAGCTGTCTAATGTCTGTTGGGTAGGTGATCGTTTCCCCACTGATGTGGACTGTTGGCGGCCCAGGGTTCATCCTGCACTGTCTGATTTTTCTTTTGTAAGGGAACGGCTTGGCTCTGGTCACCTTGCAGGAGTAGCCCCAGGCTATGAAGTCAGGTCTGGAACCGCAGCTAAGCTGAGCCTGTCACGTAACTCTGTGCTCCTCCAAGAACTGAGGACAGACTAGCGACCGGCTCAGAGACCACTTCCCACTCTCTTCCCCGTCTGCCCGGGAGGCGGTCCGGAGGCTTTCCTCTAGTCTCTGGGCCTGAGATGTGAGGCTTTCTGCCCGTGCCCTGTGGGGTGTGGCTGCTATCTAGAATGGGCTCCCAGTCAGGGGAGATGCTGTGATTTGGGGGGCAGGCAACTGTCCCCTTTAGTTGGGATGTTGTCCTCGACAGGGCACAGGACAAGGAGTGGTCTCTTTGGTGCTCCTTCTTTGCTGTCAGTAACAAATTGCCTGAACGCAAACGTGGCTCTTCATACTCAGCCTGGCCTCAGCTCTGCCTGAGTGCAGGACGTCTGTCTGTCCATTTGTTAGGCAGGAAGCTAGACCGAGTAACAGGTGGATGGACCTCAGACGTCCTGGGGTCCTGCTGGAGAGCCCCAACCGAGGACCGCCCAGGCACCACCCCAATCCACCCATCTAGCAGTCAGTTTGTGGTTACAACCTCCCGGTGGCGGAGGAAGAGTTAAGTCTGTTGTCTTGGTGCACTTGTGCAGAAAGCAGCCGTTTGTCCTTATCCCACCTGTGTCTCCAGAACAGAAACACTGTTGTGGTTTCCTACCCCTTGCAGGCATTTTGAATACTTCTAGAGAAAGGACAGTGCTTAGTTGGCTAACGATTATATAATCCAGGCCTGTCACTCAAATGTTGCAACCCTAGGACCCAAGCAACAGAAAACACTGATATAAGCCCACACCCTAGACATTCCCAGCCTTTGTCTCTCTCGACCTGCCCCGCCTCCCTTGGAGTGTACTTTAATAAAACTTTGCTCTGCTTTCCCACCCTTTCCTTTTGCTGTCCTGTCATTCTTCCCTGGGGCGAAAAGAACCTTTCCTTTCCCATCTCACTGGCAGCCAATTCACACTCTTTCAGTTGGTGTAACTTTGTAACTGTCCGAAAACCCGTAGGACAAGTATCCCTTTCCCCCCCCCCCTACATTTTCTTTACCATAAGCCTTTCCTCTTTCATATAAATCTTCGAAACTACTCATCCTCCCTCACAAAATAATGCTGTTCATTATTTGTTGAAATGCACACAGTTCGTGGACTTAGGCATTTGAGGGAGCAGACATCTGTGTGTCGCATCTCCTCACTCAGAAATGTGGCCCCTTCCGTGGCCCGTTCCGTTTGTTCAGGTCTGCCTTCCCATCCTTCGGGTGAGTTATTTTTCTCACACAGATCTTCCACCCTTTCTGTTAGATTTATGCCTAAAGAAAAGCCATGTATTTATTAGAAGGGTAGTCATCATTGCAACCCATGCTGGCTAAGACGTGAGATGCACAAAGTCCTGTTGTATCCAGCCGTCATTTGGTGAGAGATCGGGGGCAGCACGCAGGGATGGCGTTAGCATCACCCATTTCACACGAGGTCACTGAGGCTGGGCGGGTTGAAGGACTGGGCTGCAAAGGCCGGCCTGGGGCCGTCCCCCAACCATTCCTGGCGCAACTGCTACGGACAGAGGAGGCCGTCCCTCACGCAGCTTCTGCGGCACCTGCCTGGCAGGTCACCCAATCCGGCCCCGCCAGAGCCCTGGGGTGGCCTCCCAGGAGACACGTGCCCTAGGGGGTTCTGGAAGCGGCAGAACCTCTGCGCAATCAACTCCCCGCCTCCACCCCCCGCCCCTCCTCCCCCGGGGGCTGCTTGGCTCTCCGGGACTCCCCGCGCCTCCTCCCGGCTCGCCCCCCGCCCGGCCTGGGAAGCATCTCCCGCTCGTGCGCGTGCTCCTGCTGTTCTTTGCGAGCGGACGGTTTGCCCGCGGTGCTCACACGAACACACGCACGGAACCCGCCACGTTTAACCGGAAGTGCGCCTCGATAGTGCCCGTGGTTCTCGGACTTTCCGCAAACCCGGGCGCCTCTCTGGAGGCCCAAACACCGAGTCCTGGGTCTTGCTCTGATTGGCCGGCCTACCCCGGAGGGGCTGCGTTGATTGGCTGAGGCTCGAATCACGTGCCCATCTGTAAACCAATTGCTGCGGCAATAGGGATGGGCTTTTGATTGGCTGAGATCGCTGGGTGCCCACGTGCAAGCGGTGGGGCAGGGCTGGGGGCACTCCGAGGGGGGCTCAGGAGATGGGGGATGCTCAGCAGTGGGGG